GTGAAGAATCAGGCAGTTTCACTCACACATGCATCGGGTTTGTGCAATGCTATGGGGTATCACAAAGTTCTCGTAAATATAATGGAGTCCATATCAAAAATTTAAGAGACCCTGGCTTAAACTAACATAGCGTTATTTATTTTTCGCTATCTAAGAAAATCAAGTCTCTACAATCAAACATTAGTGAGCCGTGGTGGCTTAGAGGATGAAGCGCTCTCCTTCGAATGATGACTTGGGTTCGAATCCCAGCAATGTCTTGCCGATATGAATCCCGCATCCGACTCGTATCGACTACAGTGCTGACGTAAAATACCCTCAGTGGTAGATGGATCATCTGTTATAGTCCCCGTGCCGTCAGGCTAACCGTGGGAGGCATTCGTGATTTTCCTACTCGTGCAACACAAATGCGGGTTTCTGCCACCAAAAAGGAGGTAAATTTTCCCCAACATTATGTCCCCAACATTATGTCCCATCCCTTGTCTTCTGGATTGGGTTCAAAATGACAAGGCTACGGAGATGAACGTTGGTAGTCGTAAACTCAAAAAATTGGGTTGACTGTTCAACGACGGTTATAAAATCAAACATTAGTTGATAGAATCAATCATCAATCCTTTTAAAAAATTTAATGCAAAGAATTGAATGGGTGAAAAAATTTTTACAGTCAAGAAATTATCACAATGTTATTTATTTTTTGGTATCTAAAGAATCAAGACTATACAATCGAACAATAAACAAATTAGTTGACAGAATGAGAGAAACAAACTTTTGAACTTTAACAAAATGGAAACCGTTAATGTGCACATTGCATAGATAAACTGCAGAAAAACCTCAATTTATTTTAACAGATTGATTACCCTAGTTATTCTGCAGATCAGCTAGGTAGCATATGAGCTATATATAGGTCTATTAGCTGAATGTCCGTTCTTCATACGGAGTAAAAGAATCAGAAATTATTAACACTACGCAAGCAAACAAAATCGAAAAATTTAAATTATTTAATCTGCAGATCAGTTAGGTAGCATAGACGCTATATATAGGTCTATTAGCTGAATGTCCGTTCTTCATACGAAGTAAAAAGAATCAGAAATTATTAACACTACGCAAGCAAACAGAATCGAAAAATTTAAATTATTTAATCTGCAGATCAGTTAGGTAGCATAGACGCTATATATAGGTCTATTAGCTGAATGTCCGTTCTTCATACGGAGTAAAAAGAAACAGAAATTATTAACACTACGCAAGCAAGCACAATCGAAAAATTTAAAATAATTTAAACTTTTATTATTATTTGTTGCCTTTGCCAGTGACTATAAATTATCAGATTAATAATAATAATAAAGTTCTATTTTTAACGAAAAGGAAAAATAACTGTGCTCTGTATCATTTGGCGCCGAAAATGATGCTATTGAACGCGTTTATCACTACAGTCAAGATTTAATCACAATCACTTTTCTTGATGAGCTTTAACAAAGTTGTTTCCATTTTTTTCGGCTATGGTACTTTATCCCTTTACTTACGGTATACCATGTTGTATCATCCCATGTGGTCCATATGTTGTGCCAACCGTAAGCAAAGGGTTAAATGATAGTCCTTTTGGCAGAAACCCGCTTTCATGAGTAATTGCATGCACATTAACGTATAAGAAAACTAATTATTTTAGAAATATTTAATATGAAGAATGAAATTTCTTTTTTTTTTATCGTTTTATCAAAAATATTCTTCAAGTAAGGATTAATTTCAGGTTATCGAATTCAAAGAATTGGAAGCAGCATTTATTTTAATTATAACATTCTCATGGTGTATGCATACGATGAAAATAATGTTAAATAAATAATAAATAAAATAAGCTGATTTATGGTTTCGTTGATCTGAAAACGAATAAAAAATATTATTATAAACATCTATATTATATAAAACGCTAATACGTACGTATCTATCAATAAAACCGATGATATTTCTTTTCTCGCGCTGGCAACAGTTTTCATTTTTAATTGATTGGATTCGGCGCGCAAGAGCACGTAGTGAGCAACCAGATAACAATAACCAGAGTGAGCATTATCAGGTTGTTCAATTCAGACTCATGCACTAAAAACATGACAATTGATATTTTTCTACTGGGAGCTACCTAAACGTCTAAAAAACGTTTAAGTGTTTGTATTGAATGCATTGAATTTTTTTTTTTTTCGCGTTTATTTATGCATTGAATTTTCAC